ATATATATATATATAGTTGGAGTTGGTGCATGCACTGATCAAATGTAGGTTATTGGGTAGCTTTCAAGGGCATTTGCTTTTTCTTTTTTGTGTTAGAAACGGCGATCACGAGAAGGGTGGAGGGATAAGATAAGGAGAGAATCTCCTATTTCTTAAATTTATAATGGGTTTTGATTTTGTATGGAGATTAATTAGAAACAAAGCAAGGCTGAAGCGTTGGAGTTGGTGCATGCACTGATCAAATGTAGGTTATTGGGTAGCTTTCAAGGGCATTTGCTTTTTCTTTTTTGTGTTAGAAACGGCGATCACGAGAAGGGTGGAGGGATAAGATAAGGAGAGAATCTCCTATTTCTTAAATTTATAATGGGTTTTGATTTTGTATGGAGATTAATTAGAAACAAAGCAAGGCTGAAGCTTTGATTTGCGTTTGCTGACGCCAACATCGGTTTCATGGTTGCCGAAATGGCATGCATGGTGATGGGAGAGGTACCAAGATAGAATAATATTGGCGAGGGCAGATTTGCGACTTATGGGGCAGTTGAATTATCAGCTTGGCATGTGCCTGACCTCTTTAATTAACGTACGCCTCTCAAATTGTACCTCAGTGTTTGTGCTCTTTCTTGCATCGAGATTCATCATTACATGACTCTTTTAACTACCAATATACTTAATCTACTGTTTCAAAGTACTAAATAAGATTAAAAAAAATAATTTTGTTTGATTGGCAAGTTGAAGATATGATTCTTTAGTAGTTGTACAAACTTGAAACCTAGCAAAATGAACGTTAAAAGAGCTAAATATCACCTTAACTAATCTTAAACTAGTTGCCATATCAAATAGCTCGTTATATATCTATAACTAGCTAAAAAACTAATCATGAAAATGATTATTGCTAATGATATAGTTAATAGAATAACTTATTTTATATGTTAAATTTTTTATGCACTAAAATGCTCCTCAGAGTTTCGTGAAAATATAACGAAACCTAGTTTAAGGAAAACATAGCTCGCCTAGATTGGCGCTTCTTCCATCACCATCAAACTTCAATAATTGTTATCTTCTCTGATCCATACGAAGGAATCTGCCTGTGCCCAAATGGTAGAACCATATCCATTGATGATGAACTTGTGCTGCGCGCCCATAAGTGCAGAGCAGTGTACTAGACTTAACATCATGGGATTTCAGAAAAGATAGGAAGGAATGTAACAAGTCACCCATGCTCTTGTGGGGTCACATTCCATGCCCATATGTAGTGCAAGGGTGGTTCCATACTCTCATGTTGACCCCGGCGGTCACCATGTGTAATATATATAGGTACAACTTAACTACTACTAATGAATGATGAATATTGCTCAATAGGATGAACCAATTCTCAATACCTTATCCACACCCACCATCTGTTTATGAATGACATAGGAGTACGTACTTGAATAAAGACCGGGTTAGCTTGTACAACTCAATGCTTCATCACCATTTCAGTTTCACAATATATTAAGCATATTAAAGTTAAGTAAGTTAATTTTTAGTCACCGCCAATGAATTGTTAGAACGGTGAAAATGTCTTGTAGTTCAAAATAAATTTTGGCAGCCTCAATGTAATATCCGGTTTTCTTTTAACTATTACCTTAGTTAAGGACAAATAAGATGAAAAAGTATATATATTTTTGTAGAGGTTGCATGATATTAATTAATGTTGCCTAGAATTTATGTGGTTCATAATTAAAGTACTAGATCCTAGTTTGAGAGTGGCGTCACAATTTGGTATCAGAGTAATACGTGCTTAGAGGCACATTCAGAGTATCTTAGGACCAAGTACTCAATCAACGTAGGATTTATGTTTTGAGAAATACGTTGGTTTTTGAATTTAATAAGACAGTTGTTGAGTTAGAGAAATTAGAATCACTAAATTTTGAGAACGAAATATTTTAAAGATGAGAATTGTAATTATATCCAGTTTCTTTTAGCTACACTACAAGAAAAAGGGGTTTTTGTGATGACAAAAAGTCGTCGCAAAAATCCCAGTGTCGTTGATCTATATGATGCATATAAATAGAAAATATTGATCAATATAGTTAAATTTAAATTAACGAATATGAAAATTTAAGCAATCACTCTAAAGTCCGGTCTAATTTGACGAAGCTTAATAATTTATAAAAGGCTACGACTACAAATTCTATAGGAAAAAAAATGCTATGTTCTTCATGCTCGAATCTAATTCTAAGTATAATCTAGTTCTAAGTATAATGCTTAGGAAATGATTCTAAGTTCTAAGTATAATCTAGTTCTAATAACAAGTTATTACCATAATTGTTTTAAGGAAAAAAAAAAAACTCACCTCTATCTATGCAATGCGGCGGCGGCGGGGGCAGGGGCAGGGCGGCGGGACCAGGGCGGCAGTGCGGAGGCAATGCGGCGGCAGCGGCAAGAAACGGAAAGAAGAGAGAGAGAGAGAAGGGAAGAGAGAGAAAGACCGGAAGAGAGACAAGGGGACAGAGGGAAGGGGAAGGCCGGCGGCGGGGGCGGCGGCGGAAGGAGAGGGGAAGAAGAGAGATCCGCTCGGAAGAGAGAGAGAGAGAAAGCAGGGAAGAGAGAGAAGGAGAGGCCGGCAGCAGGGCGGCGGCGGCGGCCACGGGAAGAGGAGGCTACGACGGAGAGAGCGAGAGATTTGCAGGAGAGAGAGAGAGATTTGCAGGAGAGAGAGAGAGAGCGTTGGGAGAAAATGAAGAAGAAGAAGAAGGGGATATTAGGTCAGAGTTATTTGCGACGACATATCCGTCGCAAATAAATTTAAAATGTCGTCGCTAATAATAAAATATTTACGACGACATTGTCGTCGCAAATTAATAAAATATCGTCGCAAATACTAAAATATTTACGACGATATTTTCTCGCCGCAAATATTTTAAAGTCGTCGCAACTAATGCTTTTTTCCCGCGCCTACTTGATTGTCAAATAAGATTATTTGCGACAACAGTAAAACAATGTCGTCGCAAATAAGGTAAAACTATTTGCGACGATAAATGTCGTCGTAAATAGTGATAACTTGTCATCACAAAAAAACAGATTACCTTGGCGCCAATAATCCGCGACATTGAAAATTACGCGCCAATATTATTTGCGACGACATTGGAATTATTAGCGACGACATGATTATTTTATTTAACAATAGGTATTTGCGACGACATGTCATCGCAAATAGTGTATTATTTGCGACGACAAATGTCGTCGCAAAAAATGTCATCGCAAATGGGCATAATTGTTGTAGTGCTATTAGCTTAGTTAAGGATAAATAAGATGAAAAAGATATTTTTGTAGAGGTTGCATGATATTGATCCACGTTGCCTAGAATTTTATCTGGCTTTACTAGTTTGGGAGGGGCGTTACACTCAACATAGAATGTCTTGTCTAGCTAATAAGTATGTAAAGTGGAAATTAGTCAGGCCCGTTATGTTCGTAAATATGTATTTTGACTAGGTAGCGTTCATATATATCATAAATTCTTTATTTGATGAAGCAGAGGCCATTTCTTTAGGACTACTAATCTTATCTTATAAGTTGAACAAAAGTCTGAATGTTTAGGTATCCAAACACGAGAGCAAATCGCCTTGAGACAAGCTGCACAATTTGCTCTCGCTTACCGGAAGTTGGGGGCATCCTAGGAGACTAGCTATTTGCAACAACCCTCCTTTGATTTATTACATTGTCTAAAAATATCTTTTAATGCTCATTAACTAACCGTGTCCGTGAAAATATATAAATATATATATATATAAAGTTATCTTCATATAATATTACTACTTGCCTTACCAGTTTCAGACAAGAGCAAACTACTTGATATATAGTAGGATGAATTAATATCCCCACATGACGTTCTCAATGGTAATTGAGGTTGTAATTTATGATTATATATGTATTCAGTAGTTGTAATTATCTATTTATTATATATAGGAAATGAAACTTCTAGGCGTTACAGAATAATATATGCTTTTTGAAGCTTTTGCTCGGCGAAACATTGAAATTACATCACGGATTTGAGGATATATAAATTTAATTAGTTTCATTTCCTATCTGTCATTTAAATGAGAATGTACCATATTCAAATCTACCTTTATATCTTATTATCCCGTCAAAACAAGACAATGTAATTAATAGCATATATACAGATCATTTATCATATAACATCCCATTAAATGCATTTCCTGATCTTTAGAGGAAAAATTGTTATTTTTCAACCACACAGACAAACTACAGCTAATGAGCCCTCTCCAATTCAGACCAAGAGAATCCAAGAAGGATATGATATTTAGTCGAGGCAAGCTCTATCTTTGTGTGTTGTGTGTATACAAATACAGAGCTTTATCTCATAATTATATATGTATTAATTAAATATTATTCCTAAAAAAATTAAACATTATTGTAACAAGCCCTTTAGCATTTCAAGTTAAACACAACGTTTATATACGAAGGACCTCGCATTTGCAGCTACAGAAAATGATATTTAAAGTGTCATCTTAACTGGCTTTACCATGTTTGCGGGAATGAAACAAGACAGCTAGTTATGGTCTTATTTATTTCACCGATTCGAGTTTAAAATTTAAATTTTATTACAATAAAAAGTTCTCAGAAACAATCATATATTTTTTTTTTGCTACAGTAAAAATCACTCATATATAATCACATCTCAATTTAAATTAAAAACTCGAATCATCGAACTAAACGGCCCATAAATACTGGTTTTTTATTAATATTCCTTCACTGAACAAGCTGCCGGGGCCTTTTTTTTTTTTTTTTGCGCGCTGATCGGGATATAAGGGGGTTGAAAGTGGACACATTGTCGAAAATTAATGTGATTTTAAAAACACTGCATTAAGAAATAAGCATGATAAATTATTTGTTTATTAGTAATTTATAACGCCTTGTGAATGCTATGGATTTGGATAATGTTCTCGGATATAGGAGAAAATATATATATATATATATATATATATTATATACACACACATATATATATATATATTATTATTATTAACTTCCTGCAGGCTAGGTAGCTCGTGAGTTTAGGTCTTCGATGTCTTACGAATGGTATTCAATATAGCTTAATGCATGTGATCAATTGTTTAATTAATCATGAGATTCATGACAATGTTAATGCTATTTATTCCGCTTGAGACCAAAGAAAGGAAGGTTTTATCATAATAATTAAGACTAAATAGTAGTCCTTAACTCCAACGATGATGTACCGGTTACAACTTATTTGAAACATTCACTGGAAGGGAAAATAAAAATTAATTAATAACAGTACCATTTATTCATATATATGTTCCACAGCCACAACTGCACTTTTAATGTTTAGTCAAGGGGTTGATAGTATCACGGATAGCTAGATTGAAAATGTTGGGAATCACTTTAATTTGGAAAAATCACGGGTAATTAAAAGGAGATTACATAATTACTGGTTTTTTCCCTGAGTGAAAGTGAACAAGTACATATTCAGTTTATGTTAATTCAAACATAAAATCTGTGATTCTAGAATACATATTTTCCATGTGACGCACGAGTACTTCGATTTGCATTTTAGACTACTATAATCACTACGAAATAGAGCTTTCATACTAAGCTACGCGAACTTAAAATTAAGAGCTCTCGTAATATGAAAATGAATACATATATAGTCAAAATACTAATAAATGTAATGGTATATAAAATATTAGCCTTTTCTAATTCTAGTATCTTAATAAGTGTTATAGAAGTAAAAAATAAAAATAAAAAAGTCTATCAGAATAGATTAAAGTGTAAGATCTATATAATACTTACCTCTTAACTTTGACTTGAACCTAATTTGAGTCTTATTAGTAATAAATTTAAAAGTTCCGCAACTCTTTTTCTTTTTTTCTTTTTTTTTTTTTTTTTTTTTTTAAAAGAGTCATAGTCATATAAAAAAAAAAAAAAAGTGTGCGAAGAGAGAATCTGAGATGTGGAGGCGAGCAATTTGATCAGATAGGAAAAAGAAATTTGAATTTGGCTAGGTTGCTATTCTGGCTGCATGCGTCTATACATGGTTTCACAAAGTACAAATTTGTCTTTTTTCCCTACACAAACACAGATATTGGTTACCAGCATATATATTATTTTGCTAAAAATGGTACATATTAATAATATATGCGGAGAGAAAAAGAGCTATGAAACTGGAATATTGGATGTCCTGCTCCACAACCTTGCAAATTAAAACCAGATTAAAACTTTTAATTCTCAACATGCCTATGGGCGCAAAGAGCACACGCCAGTATATGTTGTTTACTTCTTTAAAATTTAAATAAAGAAGAATTTGTATGTTACATAGAATTTTTTAAGATCAAGAAGTTTCATAAAGGAGCCAAAAACTCAAGTTGATGTTGTTATTATAATAACTCTCACTAGTTGGAGCTTGCAAAACCAAAAAATAATTGTTGTAGTTGGAATTGATTCTGTTTTTATTTTTCAAGTTTTTTTAGAAAGAAAAAATAAAACGTTTTTAAAATGACGTTTAGCGCAATAAAGATAAAAAACAGAAATGAAAATGATTTTTTAATTTAGTGTAAAATGAGAGAGAAGTAAAAAACGACTTGTTTTTCATTTTTTATTTTCATTTTTTTCTCTCTCGAGCAGAGAGAAAAAAATAAGTATTAATAGGTTTTTTTTATATTAAAAATAATCTCTTAATAAATTCATCAAATACATTTTTAAAAATAATTTATGTTTGAGATTAAAAATATTTTTATTTTTATTTTTATATAAAAAATAAATTTATTTTAAAATAAATTTTAAACGCACCTAATGTAACCAAATTCACAAACATGACAATATTCCACGTGGGAAAGGATTATAATTTTTGCGGCGTACCAAATTAATAGGAAAGAATGTCATATACAGGGACCGTGAGACATCCATGTAGCTAGCTGTTAACCTGTTTATATGTGCGTTAGCTTGATCCAGCTGGGCTTGACCGTATGAGCTGGCGCTTTATATATATATATATATATATATATATATAGCTAAGATTTGTCTTCACCACCTCACGAGCTTTGTGTGTCTCTGTGTCTTTCTCATAAAAATACAATACTCACATAAATCATAAATGCATGATAAATCACGGTAATTGACCAATGAGTGTTGCGAGTGCGTAATCTCACGTGTTTAACTCACATAGGATACCCACAGCTATTAGTGAGGTTGCTCCAGGAATTGCTGAGCTATTATTATTTATGATTTCCAGCCTGTGCTCCAAACGTTTATATATGCGTGTCTATCTGATTTGACGATAATACCCATTCCGATGCCATATTGCTGACTGAAAAATTAGTCCATCCACATCTTTTGCAAACTGTAGTTAAGCTGTTTTGTTTTCTAGTGCTGCCAAAAAAAAACCAAGAAAAGTGGCTGCTGGCATGAAGTAAAGGAAAGAAAATGACAACACCCTCACGCTGAGCTTGGCTTTCACGCACTAGTTATTTTAAATTTAAACCAAGGAAAGAAGAGGGTTGTTTAGTACAATTGTGAATCCTGACTTTATCACTATTTGGCAACTTTTAAACTTCCAAATTAAATAGTAATTGTGATCTAATAGTTAATAAATGTTAATTAATTGACGGGATGTCTCATAAATTTTGCACAAAATGCACCTTAACATTTTCGTTAGTTGATCAATTAGACAATTTTGTTTAATTTTCACACCTTAATTACTCTTCATTAATTGACGAGAATTATCAGGTATATATATACGTTTGTTTTGGTGAGAGCGTGGAAAACAGATGCGTAGTAAATGAGTGAGCAAATATTTTTGGGATTTGAAATAAAAGAGACGCGCTTGGGCTTGGGGAATGGTGGGAGTACCGTTGGATTCACTTTTTCTTGCTGGCAAAGTCTCAAAACACTCGAAATGATCAAACCATCTCTTACACCCAAAAAAAAAAAAAAAAAAAAAAAAAAAAAAAAAAAAAAGAAAGAGAGAGAGCCTTTTTTGTCTCTTTCACGGCACCTTCCCTCACACGCTTAATCTCCCCTCCACTTTTTGTTTAATATTGTTATATAATAATCAGAACACCCACAATCCTAAATCTCCATCTCAGCTATATATATACCCTCTCCCACAATCCATTTTTCTCATCCCAATCCCACTCAGCTTTCTTCTCCATCAGTCTTTAGCGCACACTAGCACAAATCAATTACTTCTCTGTTCCATTTCCAAATAAAAATGGTCTCTTTCCTTCTAAATCTCTTCCTCGTTTTCTCTCTCTTCCAAATCTCTTTGGCTTCTAGAAAACTCTCTGAGGTTGGGCAAGACAAGCCCGATCAGCTCCTGAAATACCACAACGGCCCTTTGCTTTCGGGTAAAATCTCGATCAACCTCATTTGGTACGGCAAGTTCAAGCCTTCCCAGAGAGCCATCGTCTCCGATTTCTTCACCTCCCTCTCATCTCCTTCCCCTTCCCAGAACAACCAACCATCGGTCGCCACGTGGTGGAAGCTCACCGAGAAGTACTATCATCTCACCTCCCGAAAATCCCCTCAGCTTTCCCTCACCCTCAACAAGCAAATCCTCGACAAGAGCTACTCTCTTGGCAAATCCCTCACCAACAAACAGATCATCAACTTGGCTTCCAAAGGTGACCAGAAAAACGCCATCAACGTCGTCTTGACCTCCGCCGACGTCACTGTCGATGGGTTCTGTATGAGCCGGTGTGGGACCCATGGGTCTTCGGTGGGCTCCAACGCCGGTCACGTCAAAGGGAAGGTCTACAAGTTCGCTTACATCTGGGTCGGGAACTCAGAGACTCAGTGCCCGGGCCAATGCGCGTGGCCGCTCCACCAGCCCATCTACGGCCCACAGAGCCCACCCCTGGTGGCGCCCAACAACGACGTGGGCCTCGACGGGATGATCATCAACCTGGCGAGCCTCTTGGCCGGGACCGTGACAAACCCGTTCGGCAATGGCTACTTCCAAGGACCGGCAGAGGCGCCGCTGGAGGCCGCGTCGGCTTGTCCTGGAGTGTACGGAAAAGGTGCTTATCCTGGCTATGCTGGAAACTTGCTTGTGGACCCCACCACCGGGGCTAGCTACAATGCTCATGGTGCTCATGGGAGGAAGTACTTGCTTCCAGCTTTGTATGATCCTTCCACGACATCTTGTTCGACCTTGGTTTGAGGTGGTGGTAGTGGCTGATTAGTGACGAGGAGGACTAGCTGAAATTGTATACGCGATATAGTAGAAGTAGAGTAGTTAAATTCTTTGATTTATTTTTTTGGGTTTGCTATGGAACTTATGCGGATTGATTATTAATAAGAGAAAAGCAAACTGTTTCGGTTTGCTTGTTTTAATTAACGAATCTTCTAAAGATTTTCCCCTTTCTTGCTTGATTAGTTTTTGCAAAATCTGAAGTTTCCAATTCCCGGACTGATCAATGAGGATTGTTTTGATGAAAGAATTGAGGACTGTTGGTTGAGAAAGTATGGGATTTTTTTTTTCTTTTGGCTGAAAAGAAAGTATAGGCTTGAAAGCACCGATTGTTACTTCAGAATTCTCGTTTCTTCTTCTTTGATATTCAAAATTGTACTTCCAATTCCGGTGCAGGGAAAACAGTTATGGTACTAAAATAATCAAGATGTAAAGTTCAATCACATGGAAGATGTAAATTTCAAGCTCTTCTCCAAGTTCAAAAAAGAAAAACCCCACTTTGACTAAGGACTCAGATAGTTAACAAGTTCGGCAGCAAGAACACACACAAACACACACAAAAAAGAGGATTACAAACGAAAATAACGGCAGCATGTTTAGACCGTAATTATAAAATGACAATTATTTAAAAAAAAAAAAAAAAAAAAGGAAGATCGGTAATAAGGCTACAGTAAATGACAGAACAACGACAAATCGGAAATGGACGATATCGCCGTGAAACGACAATGTGATAAACGACAAGAATTTAAAAGATAAAGAAAGTAGACGACAATCAAACATAAACAAGATATGAAACAACAGTAACTTTGTGAACGTACGTTCTGATGAGCGACGTCAATAAAGTGACCCACGATTATATGAAAAGATACCAAAAAAAATTTTGACGATAAACGACAATAAGATCATAAACGACACCTTACACTATAAACACACAATAAGGAAACTACAGGGATTTGAAACAGAAGGTAGAGAACAACCAGGAAAAAAGGACAAAATAATAAGTAAATAGCAACAAATGTGAAACAAAAACAATTTCATACAACCAAAGAACACGTAAAACACACGAGACATAATGAGAACTGTTGTCCTATTTTTCTATCTCACCAATTGTCCCTTCAACAATAAAATATGAAACAAAAAGTGTCATACAATGAAAGAACTTACAAAAAACAAGAGACGCAACAATTTGAGAAGAATCAAGAATCAACATCTGTTATCTCTTTGGTTGTCCCTTTAATCAAATTTTAACACTTCACTTAATTCCTTAATTAAGTATTTTTTAATATTTAGTTCTTATTTTGAAATCAGGTTCGCGAGAAATAAAGTACCTAAAACGACACACAATAACCATAGTAGAAGTCAGCACATAACAAAATGGAAAACGATGTAAATTTTCTTGTAGCAAACCATATAATGGGTTTTATAATCAGTCGCTTTTGTAATTTTTATTTCACTAATTTATTTTTATCAAACTTGCAACTCTAATTTTGGAAAATGTAACAAAAAATTCGGTGTCCAATGCTAGGTGTACTTAAAGAGAGCAATGATCTTTCGGTTTATTTGGGCATGCCCAACAAGAATAACCACCAGATTTTGATGTATATGGCAAGTTTTGGAGTCCAAGCAAATTGGTGGGATATGCTATAGTGGGAGCCGCCAATTAATTATAACTATGCGATATTATCCGTTTCTTTCTTAATTTGAGGAAAGGTTATCTTTATATATTGAGCTCAATATGAGATGCAGGCTCATTCTTGGTACATGCATGAATCGAAGCATTCATTAATTAAATGCGAGAACAACTCGCAGTAGTTTCGGATATGCATTGCATGCATGGTTATTTAAGGTGAGACAGCTTATATTAACGACTTTTCTATGTATGAACCATGAAGTGGACTTTTTCCAGGTTGGGACTTGGGATGTATATCTCAACATCTATTCTTTAATGGCCTCACTGTCTCGCATTTATAAGAACTTAATTTGTTTGACAAATGACATAGTGGATCTTGTGTCTATCTACACTTAAAATGAATTTAGGAAAAAAAAAAAAAAAAAAAAAAAAAAAAAAAAAAATTTTTTTAAAAACCCAAGTCCGCGTTTCCAGTTTTAGTAGAGCTGTTTGAGAATTATTGATGAACGCTATCTCAATTAATGCCCTTCTCCGGTCCTTAATGATATCTTAATTGACTGCAATTTTCTCTCAATTTTTAAAGCTACAGATAACCTAGTGACTTTCTTTTAACTTAAGTAAACCCCATGCTCGTCTCCTCTCGTTTTTTTTTTTTTTTTTTTTAAATTCAACACATCCACTTAAAATATATATATATATATGTAAGTTAAAAGGCACGTCCTGTAAATTTTAATGTCAGTACTGTTTAACGGTCATAAAAGTTAATCGTTTTTACAACTAGTTACCAATTTATATATATATATATATATACATAGTTTGGTATATATCTTTGGACTAGTCAACAGGACTGCACATGTATTTACCTCTTTTTTTTTTAATTATTATTCATTGTCCCTTTGCGACGACCTATCCTAAATTGTAAAAATTCTAATCAAATCACATTATATGCAATAAATACTCGAGAATAAAAGCATTACTACTTTTTTATCTAAAAAAGCATTACTACTTTTATTTTCGAAAGAAAAACAGAATGCATGTTGAAAGATAAAAAGAACGCATTGCAACATGCATAAGAAAATGAAAGTCTACAAGCAAGAAAAAAGAAAAAGAAAATGCAAGTTAAGCATTAAGCAACACACATTGCACACATATGATTGCCCAAATCAGACGTGCGAAGATAAGATCATAAAATTAATGCTATCCAATATTCCCGAGAACGCGTTTTGCCTCCTAAAAACCAGTCTCAAACACACAACACACAAGAGCGCTGACAAACAAAAAGTAAGCTCAATATTGTTGTCGTTTTCCGTCCTCATTGGAAGCTGTCTCTTTTGTCCTATAATTAATAATACACCATTATGCCTTAGCTGGCAACCCCTTGACTCCGGATGAAGTCATAGATTCGGTGGAAAGCGAAAGCTGTAATTTTTTTTTTTTTTTTTTTTTTTTCCTTCTAGCTCTGCCTATATTCAATTTGCGCAACGCGTTTTCTCCTTCTGGCATCTCACTCTCCTCACTTTTTGCCTTTCTTTACTCTTACGTTTTTGCTTGTTTGCATTGCCACCACTACTTTGCTCCTTCCAAGCACTTTCCAAAACCACATGTATAAATATCCACTCCCTTCTCCATTTCTCCTCACTCAAATTTCAAACCAACACATCAAAAAAAGCCCTTCTTACTTCTTTCTAAGATCAACAAATTAAACTCAAAAAAACCCCAATATTTCCAAAATGGCATCTTTTGTAGCTTCAGAAAATTTCTCTATTCTACTCCTACTAATTATTTCTCTTCTACATTTGGCGTATTCAGCGAGGATTCTTTCCGAATCGTCGGATCAACTCTTCCAGTACCACAAGGGCCCACTCCTCACGGGCAAAATCTCCATCAACCTCATCTGGTACGGCAAATTCAAGCCCTCCCAGCGCGCTATCGTCACCGATTTCATCACCTCCTTCACTTCCTCCAAGGTCACCGACCAACCCTCCGTCGCCACGTGGTGGCAAACCATCGACAAGTACCATCGCCTCGCCAATCCCAAGAAACCTGCGCACTCCTCCCTCACCGTCTCCCTCGGCTCCCAACTCACCGACGACACCTACTCCCTTGGCAAGTCCCTCACAAGTCAATACATCATACGGCTGGCATCGAAGGGCGGCCAGAGGAACGCCATCAACGTCGTCCTCACCTCCACTGACGTGGCAGTCGAAGGCTTCTGCTCCAGCAAGTGCGGCACCCACGGTTCCGCCAGGTCAGCAAACGTAAGATCGAGAAAGAGTGACAAATTCGCTTACATCTGGGTGGGGAACTCGGAGACTCAGTGCCCCGGCCAATGCGCGTGGCCGTTCCACCAGCCCATCTACGGCCCACAGAGCCCACCCCTGGTGGCGCCCAACAACGACGTCGGATTGGACGGGATGGTGATCAACCTGGCGAGCCTATTGGCCGGGACGGCGACGAACCCGTTCGGAAACGGCTACTTCCAGGGTCCAAAGGAGGCTCCGTTGGAGGCCGCTTCGGCCTGCCCCGGGATCTACGCCAAGGGGGCTTATCCTGGCTACGCCGGCGACCTTCTTGTGGACCCCACAAGTGGGGCCAGCTACAATGCCCGTGGTGATAATGGAAGGAAGTATTTGCTTCCGGCTCTATTCGATCCTTCCACTTCCACCTGCTCCACTTTGGTTTGAGGATTTGTTTGAGAGTACTTATTGATCAGATATACGTGCCTACTTGTTAGTGTATAGAGAGAGTATTATTGTTATGGGGGAGATTATTCTTTGATTTTTTATATAATTATTCGTTTATAAGACGATTGAATAATAAAAAGGGGTTATATATTGAGTAGTATTATTCGAATCTGTGTTGTTTTTTCGACCTATTTATATTTCGTTAATTTAAAATTTTAATTTGAATTAAAATATAATTTTATATTATATGATAATTTTTTATTATAATAAAAAAATTAAATGTGGTTAAAACTTTATATTATAATAAAATTTAAATTTGAAACTCTAATAGATGAAATTAACATAGGCTCAATTATATTAGCGGTCGAGTTCTATTCGGTAATCATTAGCTTCGGAAATTCTTCTCATACAAAAATTGAAGAGCCGAGAGAATTTCATGTCGGATTTTCAATCTCTGCACTAATCAATGCCATAACATAATCAATCATCTGACACCCTTGTCATTTTTTGTATATAGGCGAAAAGATACCTAACAACTACAGAAAATTAATTAGGGTGATCCGTTGGATAGTTTTGCTCTTTTTTTTTTTCTTCAGAAACCGTTTGATAGCATTTTGAAAACGTTTTCTCACATATTTTCATTCCTATTCTCAAAATAAAACCATTCTAAAACTGCACAAGCCTTCGGAAACGTTGCTTTCATTAGTTTTGTCATTTTCCTCGTCGTATTATTTGGTCATCATTGATATATTATATTCCTCTTAAATCCCGTTAGCTGGCAAACAACTGCAATTGCCGAACTATTTTTTGGTAGAAAATTTTCGAACAAATTGCTGAACTACTTGTGACCTTTTGTTGTATAATTCTTTTTGTTGAAACAAACAAGTGACAACTTATGTATACCATATTGCCAACAAAAAAAACAAAAAAAAACAAAAAAAACCCTATCTACCTCGTAGAATAGCCGCAATAATGTGGGAATATATTTCTTTTTTTTGGCTATTTATATGTGGGAAATATCTCGTTTAGTAAAAGAAAAGGATTTATATTTATAGTAAGAAAATTACACTTTTCCCTGTACTCTGTTTAATTCGCAAGAGAAAACTTTTTTTAGTGATTCCTAAAAGTTTTATTTGTGGTTTGCGATGAATTTATGTTCACTTTTCCGGTTTATTAAGTTTTTATACGTTGATGTCGTTTTTTTTTTTTTTTTTTTTTTTTTTTTTTTTTTTTTTTTTTTTTGATTGACATCCGTTTAGAAATACTTGTTCTTATTGCATTAGGCATTAGCCGTGCCTTTTATATTTTCTGTCGCTTTCAGGTTTTGTGCTTCCGATTTATGTCGTTTTTATTTGCTGTTGTTTCCATGTTATTGATGTTCTTATCTGCTGTTGTTGTTTCCTGGTATTTGTGTCGTTTTATTGCTCATACATGTTATCATCGATGTCATTTTGAGGTGGTTGCTTCCTGAACCACTGATACTAGCCGTTCATGTCGTTTTTATGATGTTGTTCGCGTTTCTGATATATGCCGTCGTTTATCTGTTGTTCTCTTTTTATATGGTGTCGTTTTCTTTGTTTCAGTCGTTTTTCAACTCTTTTTTCTCGCTTTCTACGTTTATTTCTATAAGCGAAAATAGTTTTGTTGCCGTTTTCAGATATGGTTTTTTGCCATTAGATATCGTTTTCTATGTTCTAGTACATGTATTTCTTTTGCCCCTACACTATTTGATTTATTCTGACGGTACGCGCACGAAGTTGTCACAAAGTCCAAATCAATTTCTTACTCATTGATCTCTCAATCATTCACAAGAAAAATATACCAAGGAAGAGAGTAATAGCCACTAATTGATTAACAAAATGGAAAAATACCAGATCACTGTAGTGCACTAATTATGGATTCCACAACATTATTATAACTTGGAAACGTATATTTTACTACAAAGGGACCTCCCTACACCTACTCCAACGGGTAGGCCCGTGCAAGCACAATTCATGGCAAACCACCCAGCGATGTCTAAGGGTACGGTCAAACAGAAAGGCAACATTCGCTGAATATTTGGTATTCATCATCTTCTAATTATAAGTGCATCCACTATGAGTGAATAATGAAGCGCATATATATATATATATATATATGTATATGTATATATGTATGTCTATATATAAGCCCCACAAGTTAAACGACAAGGCCGGTTTGACGGTGTACCCAATCCACACAATCCCACAACTAAGATGAAATAATACATTTACATGGTCAGAATGTCACCAGCACACACAAAGCACCGACCGGACTCATGACTTATCACTAACGTTGCTTCCCGCACCCATCACGCACCCTTTCTTTGGTTTTAGTGCAAATGCTATTGATCTTATTCTTTCCGACCCATTATTGCAGTGACAAAAGCAAAAGACAATCATGGAAAGTCTCTCACTTATTAGTGCATGTCTCTGAAGTAACATATATATTGCTAATTTAATATGAAGTGTCCAAATGTACATATATTATTCTTAATAGGGCATGTATATCCATTTTTGCTAATCATTAATTTCGATTAAAGATTAATTGTAAACTTGGTATCAGCTAGGTGCCACTATTTTTTTTTTTTTCTCGGACCATCATTTATATTAATGCAGTTGATCAGTGGTGTAATTTGGTTTCCTTAGAAACAAGTTCCCTAGAAAGTTATTGGAACCCCAACTGCGATTTATATTTATTTGTGAAAGAATCTTATGTCACCACCGCACAAACATATCTTTATCATGTACGAGCCGGCGCCGCAACCTCTCCCACAAGGCTTTGCTATATAGTTTTTTTTTTTTTCCCCTGCTAAAATTGTATTGAACAGAATCCGCACCAACCCCATTGCATGATATCTTTATTTTAGCACAATGAAACTCGGATACCATATAAAAACTAGAGTTCTAATAAGCTTCAAATGATGAGAACAAACTTAGCTATAATCAACTTTATCGGCCTTTTCCTTGATATTTTAATGGCAAATAGTATCTTCATACTTTAGTTTCTATACATAATAGTTGTTGCTTGGTCAAGGAAGGAAACATAAAATATCATTATCATTAATTCATGGCTTTTCATGTAATTCAAAAAGAAGAAAAGACTTATTATTTTGCTTTATTTTAAAAAAAATAAATTATGCGTTTTCTTATAGATCAAGAATTCCTTATTTTTAATGATTTTTATCTACATGCTAACCAATGCAGTCACTTTAGTTTGAAGAGTACTGCTATCTTCCTTATTTTAATAAAAAGCATAAAATTAAAAGTTGTCGTATAGAAACCATTTGCAATGTGGGGAGACATTTTTTATAGCTTTTTCTTCAAGAAAATGTTTTGTATTACAAGCAGACCACTCTAGAAAAGTTGTTCATTAAAGTTTGCGCATGATGTATATATAATAAGGAAATGGAAGAAAAATGAAAACTGAGAGAATGAAGAGAAGTACAAGTATCTGGTCCTAATAATTAATCTGCCCCGTTACTTCTAGATCATGTACTCATTCACAAAATTAGAATAAATAAATGAAACTATATTGAGTAGATTTAATGAGCAAAATCTTGGAAACAAAAGGAAACTTCGAAATGAATGATATAAAATTTGACAATTAAGCTAAAAGGAAAAAAGTAGCTATAATTAACGTCAGTCAATAAGTTACCCCAGCTGCCATGCATCTTTATGGATTCAGTGTGTTTTCAGTTGTATAAGATTACAACAAACATGACATGACATGTGCATAATTAATTAAGTAAATTAAATTAATCAATTCTAATTGCTAAAAGGCAGAAGTCTGTATGAAGGTGATCAAAACCAAATGATATATCAAAACAGTAGAAGCCTTCCCGAGTTCATAAACCGCCTATTATTAAGCTCGTCCAAACCTGGAGCGCTTGCCTTTTCTCTCTAACTCACAAGTCAACGTCAACCCGCACGCGGTTCTACTTATATTCTATTAATTTATTTACCCAAACTCTCCCCACATGCGTGCCCTCTGTGTACTATATAAATACACCCATTTCCTAACTTACCATTGCATGAATTAAGCAAACACCTAACAATAATATTTACACGTCTTAAACTTATAAAACCCTCAGTTTCAATATGGCTTTCTTTAACCATCTAGCTTTACCTGCCTCCCTATTCGTATTACTCTTCGCTCTGGTCGAATCACAATCTCCTCTTCTCAAGTACCACAACGGTCCTCTCCTCAATGGCAACATCACCGTTAATCTAATCTGGTATGGCAAGTTCTCCCCAACCCAACGCTCCATATCGGTCGACTTTCTTTACTCTCTTGGGTCCCACACAAGGACTCATACAACCTCAGTGTCATCGTGGTGGAAAACTATAGGAAGTTACAGGGGCGGTCCCAGCGCCGTCGTCGTAGGGAATCAAATCCTCGACGAGAGGTGTTCTCTTGGGAAGTTGCTCACCACCCAAAACCTCATCGCCTTGGCGCTCAAAGGCGGCGGACGAGGAAGGGGACGCAACGCCGTTAACGTCGTGCTGACGGCGGATGACGTGGCCGTCGAGGGGTTCTGCAGCAGCCGGTGCGGGACCCACGGCACGGCGAGAGGAAGAAAAGCCGTTTACGCGTGGGTGGGGAACTCGGTGAGTCAGTGCCCGGGTCAGTGCGCGTGGCCGTTTCACCAGCCGATTTATGGGCCGCAGACTCCACCGCTGGTTTCGCCCTCCGGTGACGTCGGAGTCGACGGGATGGTCATCAACTTAGCCACGGTTTTGGCGGGAACGGTGACGAACCCCTTCGGGAACGGATACTTCCAGGGGCCTGCAAACGCGCCGCTGGAGAGCGTGAGCGCGTGCGCGGGTATATTCGGTAAAGGGGCTTATCCAGGTTATCCCGGGGAGGTTCTGGTGGAGAAAACGACGGGAGCTAGCTACAACGCGGTGGGTGTGAATGGGAGGAAGTTTCTGCTTCCGGCTATTTGGGACCCACGAACTTCCACGTGTAAGACTCCGGTTTGAGGGCCTGAGAGCTGTTGTATTCTTCTTTTGTTGCCTCTTTAGCATTTGTATAGATGTGGATACCGGGCGGTGTTGGGCTGTTGGCTTGGGATGGGAAGTTTTTATGTAATAAAGATTTTGGAAGCAATGTGTAAAGCATTCATTTGATTCAATTCCGTCCGTATTAAGCTAATTGTCGTTTGTCGTGAAAGGAATATCTGAATATGATTCGTGGATAATTAAAACAAGAAGATAACAATCTTGAACAAACGGGCATGCTTTGTCTATGTAAAGAGAACAATAGGATCGGAACCACTTAGAGGGAGGTTATTAATTTTACCGATTTGTATGATTTTATTTTTCCTTATAAAATAAAATATCTTATAAAAAAAAAATTGCACTTATGTATATAAACTAGTAAATTTTTGTAGGGAATTTCTCTAGTGTTTCATGCTTATCAATCGTCATATTTATATTACTTTTTTAATTTAATTTAACTTTTAATTAGATTTAATACAAATTTAACGACTGATAAACAGAAACATCGGTATTCCCAAAAAAAGAGAAAATATCAGAAAAAATCCCTTTTTATAGTTATTTTTATTATCATATAATGAGTATTTCTTGGACGACAATGTATTAAAAGTAATCAATTTATGTAAATACGCTAAGTTATCTATTTAATTTTAAATTTGTCTAAGTTTTAGAACCAAAATGCACAACTGATATCACACCACCAGTGACGAAACTAGAAATTTTATAAGGGGAGACTAATATAACTACAATAAAAATTTAAGGGGTATAAAATTACATTTTAATTTTTTAGATCAGAGGAGTTTTTACAATTTTTTAGAGATATTCTAAAGAAAAGGAAAAAAAGTTGCCCCCTAATCCTTAATTAGCTACGTCCAAGCGCACCACACCACATGATGTTGGTGTAACTATGCATTTAAATTTTTCGACCGTGGTTGAAGGACTTCAACCACACTTGTGGTTTGGGGAAAAAAAAAAAAAGTGGTCAATCGCCAACCGCACTGCGCAATTGCACCCTTAACGACTGCAATAGATGCTGGATCTCGTCGCAAAGAGGGCGATGTCAGAATTATGAGGGGAAACAAGCAATGAGTATTGTTGACGGTCAAATTTCGTCAACAGAAATACGCCGGATCACCCTCTGGTATTCCGTTGGGTTACTGGCTAGAAATTAACTGTATATTTGAAATTATGCTATGAAGTGTTTATTGCATTTTTGGAAGCATGAGAATAATGTTTGAATGAGAGGACACACAAAATTTATAGTGGTTCACTCTGTTAATGAAGAGCTACATCCACTTGTGTATTGTATTTCCCTTGGGCTCTTTTTGGATTACATAGAATCAGCTCTCTATTCTCTGATTACATATGAAAAATAGCCAAAAATCCTCTCCTCCTTCATTCGGGGCCTTGTCCCTTTTATAGCCAGAGATTACTTCATGGGTGGTTTTTCTTGGTAGGCCCATCCACTTGAGTGGCCTACTAGTCTATGAACCCAGACCCATAGCCTATCAACACATTTTTCACTGTTCACTCATCCAATTTGTCCCCTTTTGCGGCTATGTATATCCCCCTTTAATACTCCACCGTTCATTAAAGGGTGGTTTATGGACTTGTAATTAATGCCTGCATTACTGACATTCTTCAAGCCTAGATGTAACTCCCTTATCCACTAAGAGACCTTACTGGGGACGTGGACCCATGTTGGTACGGTCGTCCGTCTAGAAACCTCTCCTCCTTGGAAGGGTCGGCCGTCTGGAAGCCTCTCCTCCTTGGAGGAATTGGCCGTTCGGATGCCTCTCCTCCTTGGAGGAGTCGTCCGTCTAGAAGCCTCTCTTCCTTGGAGGAGTCGTCCGTCTGGAGGCCTCTCCTCCTTGGAGGAGTCGGCCGTCTGGAAGCCTCTCCTCCTGGGAGGAGCTGGCCGTTCGGATGCCTCTCCTCCTTGAAGGAGTTGGCCGTTCGGATGTCTCTCCTCCTTGGAGGAGTCGGCCGTCTGGAAGCCTCTCCTCCTGGGAGGAGCTGGCCGTTCGGATGCCTCTCCTCCTTGAAGGAGTTGGCCGTTCGGATGTCTCTCCTCCTTGGAGGAGTCGGCCGTCTGGAAGCCTCTCCTCCTGGGAGGAGCTGGCCGTTCGGATGCCTCTCCTCCTTGAAGGAGTTGGCCGTTCGGATGTCTCTCCTCCTTGGAGGAGTCGGCCGTCTGGAAGCCTCTCCTCCTTGGAGGAGTCGACCGTCTGGAAGCCTCTCCTCCTTGGAGGAGTCGTCCGTCTGGAGCCTTTCCTCCTTGGAGGGGTCGACCGTTTGGATGCCTCTCCTCCTTGGAGGAGTCGTCCGTCTGGAGGCCTCTCCTCCTTGGAGGAGTCGACCGCTCGGATGCCTCTCCTCCTTGAAGGAGTTGGCCGTTCGGATGTCTCTCCTCCTTGGAGGAGTTCATCCGTCTGGAGGCCTCTCCTCCTTGGAGGAGTCGACCGTCCGGAGGCCTTTCCTCCTTGGAGGAGTTGGCAGTCTCTGACGTGGCAGCGCATATTTTCCCGCACAACAAGTATGATTGGGCCGTTGTGTTGAAAGGAAGAATGGTCGGCAGTTGGCGCATGGGGATGGAGAAAGTGAGAGAAGAAAGAGAGAGAACAAGGGTCAAGAAGATGAGAACCTTAGGATGAATATTTGGATGAATTTTATTTTTGCTCTTGAACTGTAATTATTTATTTACTTTACCTCTTAAATTTTAAAAAGTGGCATATTCACCTTTTAAACTTTAAAACGTTTGCAAGAATGACCCTTCTGTTTTACTTTGTTTATTTTAAGCTGATGTGGTATAAAATTAAAAACTAAACAACTTAATTTAAGTTAAAACGTTAATTATTAGAGAAGTTAATAATAAAGAAAAGTCTATGGTAGATGGCAACACTTTCCTCCTATCGGTAGGGTATATAATAAGGACCACTAGATTTCAATCTATTGGATTTCAATCTAACGGTAGTAAGAGATGAAAGAATATCATACTTAAGTGAAACCTCCACATACCAGATTACAACACAATCGTTTTCTTTTTTCTTTTCTTTTTTTTTTTTCCTTTTAACAATGGATGATAAATCTTCTGATGAAGAAGATAACCACCGAGCACCAACGACGGCCACGAGCCGACGACTATCTCCACTCTCGACCCCTCCCTTTGGCCCCCTTTCCCTCAACCCATCTCTAAATTATCTTCCTTCAACGCTGTCAACGGCGTCTACGACCTCGCCTAGGCAAATCAAACGACTTCATCCTCGTCGCCCATCGTCAATGGCTCCGTCAATGATGTCCTTGCCTACTGCATCTACTCCTTCGTCTAAGACCCCGCCCCGCCGGCGGTGTCTTTGCCTCCCTGCGAATCGCTCCGTCAAGCCCCGCGCCGCTCGATCCTGGCCCTTCGCCCATTGAGATACCCACTACCACCTGCGAACGCCGCGGGTCTCGGTCTCTCCGGTGTTCCTCCCGTCGATATCTGAGTTTTGAACTAAACTAATTTTTTGTGTTGTTTAATTAAGGGAAAGTAATTTGTGTATTATTATTGAAAGTTCATTTTTTTTCCTGTTTGTCAAATGGATTAATTTACTACTGAAAAAGAAAAAAATTATCTTGCAATTTGAATTGAATTCTCAGAATTGCCAATGATCGAATGCAACTATTATTTGAGATTGGTATTATGATTTTTTTTCTTTTCAGTTTTTTAAAATTTAAAAGAAAATTCTAATATGCATCCATTGGAGATCTGCTATTCTGTTGTAGACATTGTAAGAAAATGTTCAAATATAAACCAAAGCTAACAAGATCAATGCTTATTCTTTCTCTACGAACGTGAAATAAATATTGGAATCGTGAATTTGTTTCGGCCAAATTGAGATTACCCAAAGACAATGTTCCCCGGATATGTTTCACAAATCCAGTGTGGATATTGGCCCAAATCTGTTCGGTAACACAAATATCATGTCCAACAAGCACAGTGGCTCAAGTCAAACAGAGAAACCCAAATCTATTTTTACCCAAAGATAATCAATTGGAAAATGTTTCTTTGGAGATTCCAATATTTGATGGCAAATGTGACCATTGATCATTTCTTTAATTGGATTCAGTTTGTGGATTATTACTGTGATTATATGAATGTGGAAGAAGAAAAACAAGTTAAATTGGTGGTTTGCAAATTAAAGGGACGTGCTCAAGCTCCTCAGAGTAAGAGTTTGGCACAAAATTGGGCAATGATGAAACAACTCTTGTGTGAGCAATTTTTTCCGACTCTTATTGATCCAATTTTATTCCAACAATACCGCAATTGTGAGCAAGGGAACCGATAGGTATTAGAATATAGTGATGATTTCCCAAAGCTAAGTATGATGTTTGATGTTAGTGAACTTGAGATTCAACATAGTATTAGATTTCTTAGCGGATTAAAGAAAGAAATCTATATATTGATGGTGTTTAATTTGTCATATGCTATTAATTTAGCAATAAAAGTTGAATGTCATTTTTATGGAGGTTAGTGAGGGCACTTTTTAAGAAGGGTCTAAAGAGGAGCAAGAGTTGGTTGTTGAAGGCTTAGTTAAGGATGAGCTTGAATTGAAAGATGGATTAGTTGTGGATGAGCTTAAATTGAAGAAAGATGGCTTTGTTGTAGGTGAAATTGAATTGAAGAAGGATCTTGTTGGTTTTATTAGCAACTTCGACCCATTTCACATCCACCTTGTTGGAGCCCTTACTAATACATTGAATGGTTTCAAGACGAAAGAGGTGAAGCACCATCAATGGCAAATAGCTTGGTCATTTTCGGTGTTCCATTGGAGGATTACTTTGGTGCCATTATGAATTTGGGACGAGCTTTGGAGAGAGTTTTCGATTGGAGTCTACCATTCCCACGAGCTTGTGTTGACTTTCCCGAGCTTCTTTCATTCCACATTGCAGCTAGCTACTATTTGTTCATTTCTGAGTGCTTCTACCGAACTCGAGGTCTAGAATCGTGTTTGAATAGGGGACTTTGAATATTTGATAATTGAACTAGCGTCATGTTTCCTCTCCAATTTGGGGGTTTTCTCCTTTTTCGAGTTATTTTAAGTAGATTAGGGATTACATGTAACGTCTTCTATCTGGGTTAAGCCGATAAAATTCGGTTCTATCTATTCCACTACATCAAGACGGCTCAAGCGCTGGAGTCCAATATGCTTCTTCGAGGATTTGGGTAAAGTGAAGGGTTGGTAAATTTCTCATCTTTTATTAAATACTAGTTTTTAAGCGCATAATGCGCGTGATTCATTTAAAATTATGGTTATACAAATTGTTTTAACTTAATTTGTTGTGTTGGTACAAAATGCGTTAAAGTACAGTGACCCGAAGCCTATTTGGTCCAGCCGAAAAAGTTCGCGGGTGCGACATATGTGGTGAAGCTTGAATTATAAAACATTAACTTATTTCGTTGTGTTTTAAATTAGATTTATTTTATTTTGTTTGGTATGTTTTTTACTTAATTCAATGTGGTTTTGTTTTATTTTAGCGTATATTTATTTAATTTTATTTTTTATTCAAATTATTTATAGTATTTTTATCTGAGTAGCATTAATATTAGTGCAAATCGATATTAAAATGGACAAAATTGAAAAACAAATCAGTTCAAAATAAATAAATAAATAATAACAAAAACAAATTTCTGTATTTTTTGGGTCGTCTAATCATAAGGACGAACGGCCAAGAATGACGCGTACATCCCACATGCGAGCAGGGGCACGTCCAGTGAAGGAAGGGAGACAAGCCATGTCTAAAAAGAATAAATGATAAGGAAAAAAAATAAGAACAAAAAAAAGGGATGACAAAAAATGAAAAGAGAAAGAGAAAAGGGGATTTTTTTTTATAAAAAAAAAAAAAAAAAGACAAAAGAGTGTATGAAAAGAATTTATTTTAATTAAAAAATGGAGAGAATATATTTATGAGGGTCACAATTGAAGAAAGCAAAAATAAAAAAAAAATGAAGAATGTGTAATGAGACAAGAGTGAGGGAAACCGAACAAAAAAAAGCAAAAAAAAAAAAAAAAAAAGAGGCATTCAGCGGACCAGAGATCTTTTAAGACAATAAATGTTATTCATCCTCATGTGGATAAAATCCCATTACTAAAAAATTGACAACCTAGCTGAACCCACTTTAAATGAGCAGCAAAGTTTTATTATTATAGAGATTAATAAGAGTGCTCTTAAAATAATGATTAATCTTAAATATAATTATAAAAAAATAGAGATTTTTAGACAAAGAGAGAGAAAAAAAAACTCATAAGAGAAAAAGTTGACAAAAGCAAAAACGAAAGTAAAAGCAAAAGTGAAAGGCAAAGACGGAAAAAAAAAAAAAAAAAAAAAAAAAAAAAAAAAAAAAAAAAATAGAACAACTGTTGGACACAAAGAAAGAAAGGAGAAAAAAAGAAACCAACGAAACGTTTTCTTGGGGAAGCTAAGAGAGAAACTCATTCTCCTTTAGTAACGATTGATAGATTAGTGAAAACTTAATTTTTATTATTAATTTATCTAATAATTATGGTTTTAACTTAAATTAAGTTGTTTAGCTTTTAATTATGTGCCACATCAATTTAAAATAAATGGAATATAACAAAAAGGGCATTCTCACTAACATTTTAAAGTTTAAAAGTGAATTGATCACTTTTTAAAGTTCAGGGGACAAAATTAATAAGTAGCTATAATTCAGGGGGTAAAAATAAAATTTATCCTGAATATTTTTGTCTTTATATTATCTTAAAATGGTATATTCTATAAGCTTTTCTACAAGTATGGTATATCAGAATACCATCCTGCGGAAGTGGTATTTAAATTTTAAATTCATCCTAATGTAAGCTACTTAGAGGCTTCTTCATCATTTTTCAAACCTTTTTTTTTTTTTTCTGGTCATGACTGTTATTCTAAAACTTATACAAACTTAATTCTAACCATGAGCATCATTTTTGATCTCCAAATTAATCAAACTTGAACACAGCAAAAACCATCAACATTCTTTTCAAAATGATCAAAAATTGTTGAGGTGTATGGTTGAATATCATTTAAGTCTGTTTATTTTACGAGTTCAAGTTAAAAAATAAATTTAACGTGAGAGAAAATAATATAATAAAAAATTTAAGCTCTAATTTGAATTGCGAAACAAAGGAGGCACAGATTGCTCAAGTTGGTTCTTCTAACGCGAGCAATTATATTATATATCTAGACTTCCTGCAGAGGTGTTGCATTCCCTACTCCGCATCTCAAGCCCAATGTTTAAAGCGAGGCCCACCTTTACAACTTGAAACCCAAAATAAAGAATCCAATCCAGTTTCTAGCCCAACAATTTCGTCTGAAAAGTTCCAGCAACGACCTTTCCTTCCAAATTCTTCTTACAGCGTCCTTCCCTCCTTTCTTCTTTACTAATCCTCCTTCCATTCCTCACACGGTAAACCATCTCCAACAATGGAACCCCACGATCAACACCCCCAAGGCTCCCCCAAATCCCCACAATCTCCACCCCCAACCACCATCTCCTCCCCAACCTGCCTGAAATGCGGCGCCGCCACCGCCTTCTCCGCGACTCCCCCGGAGTGTTCCGACATCTCTCCGCCGCCAAACTACCGCCCCATCCGAGCGCCCGCCATCAACCTCCCCCCCAACCACTCCCAGCAAGCCATCATCCTCGCCCCCGTTCCCCAATCACAAAAGGTCCCCGTCGTCTCGCCGCCTTTTCAATTCCAAGCCCCCTCCAAGCGAATCCAATCCCCCGATGACATCCGCCGCTTCCACGACTCCTTCTCCGGCAAGAACTTCCTCGGCTTCGTCGTCGCCCTCTCCGAGTCTATCCGCGGCCGCAAAATCTCCGACGCCTGTCACCAATCCCCCGTCACCGATTCCATCGTCTCCATCCTCCAAACCCTAACACAATGGATCGTCGAAATCCCCCCCGCTCAGCAAGCCTCTCGCTACGGCAACGTCTCGTACCGGATATGGCACGACCGATTGGTTGAAAGCAGCGAGTCTCTCATGCTCCGATTCGTCCCCGATGACCTCCGATCGTCGACGATCGAGATTGTCCCCTACTTCACCGACAGCTTCGGCAATTCGAGCCGTATCGACTACGGAACCGGACACGAGACCAATTTCGCGGCGTGGCTGTACTGCCTGGCGAGGATGGGGGTGATCAAAGAGGAGGATTACCCAGCAGTGGTTTCCAGAATCTTCGTGAAGTATCTGGAACTGATGAGGAAATTGCAGTTGGTGTATTGCCTGGAGCCGGCGGGGTCGCACGGGGTTTGGGGACTTGACGACTACTGTTTCCTTCCCTTCATCTTTGGATCGTCGCAGTTGATCGGCCACAAGTACATGAAGCCCAAGTCGATTCACAACGAGGATATACTGGAGAATTTCTCGGACGAGTATCTGTACCTCTCGTGCATTGCTTTCGTAAAGAAGGTGAAGAAAGGCCTGTTCGCCGAGCACTCGCCGTTGTTGGATGATATCAGTGGAGTGCCCAATTGGAATAAGGTGAATAGTGGGTTGCTCAAGATGTATAAGGTTGAGGTCTTGGAGAAGGTCCCCATTATGCAGCACTTTCTCTATGGTTGGCTCATTAAGTGGTATGTAACTATCTTCACTTTTCTCTCGTTTTACCCTATTTGGTTTTTTGTTAAACCAATTTGGACATAATTTGCTTTGAGAGCTTGCTTGTTTGTTTGTTATTGACAATGTGGAATCATGGGCTTATTGATTACTCTTGTTGGAAAATTAAATTTGTGGGAATTAAGCTTCGTTAGTCCAATATGTTATTACAAGCATACTATTTGAATCGGACTTTGTTGTCCCCTATTGCCGTTGTTACCTGAAACTAAGTGAATAATTAGGAAACTGGTCTAGTGATGGAGGTAAAGAATTGCGTGCATGTGTATTGTATCATTAAGAAAAAGAAAATGATCAAGAGAAAACAAAGAAGACTTGATATTCAAGCATGCGTGTCTATGAATTAGCTTGGCTCCTAGTATAGAGCCCTGTTTTTTGTATCCGTTTTGTTACTTGCTGAACTACTTTTAGTAACATGTGCAATAATGTTCAGAGCAGAAAATCATATGTGATAAGCGTAATGATATGGACACATTTGATTTACATTGGGATGTTTTGTTTTGGAATTTTATGAGCTAGTTAGTAGTTGGCATTGGTATGCACTTTTTGTTGTTCCATAGTCATATTGATCACTGATTGAGATATGAGGTTCACATATTATGTTTGACTTGACGGTTATTAGACAGAGATGTAGTCTCATAAATTCAGTGTCCACGAGTATTTCAAGTGTTATGAGATGTGTTTTTACTCTGATAGTATCGTGATTGGATAAAAACTGTCAAATTGATGTTTGCAAAGATGATGCTATACTGGTTTCTGATCACGAATTTTAGCTTATTTAATTCTTTACATTGTTTAGTTTCTTCCTTTCTTTCCAGGGAGTAGTTTGTGGGAAGCAAGAGAAGTCATTTTATCCAAGGTTTCAAGTCAGTATAAAAGAGTTATTACATTGAGAATCTATACTTCTGCTAATTTGTACTCATTTTCCTCTCGAGGCTTGCTGAGCATGCAGTTGTGCTATTATGTCACTGCATGTTGGTGTCTTTTTTCTTTTTTCATTTTCAATATCTGCTGCGAATTAAACTCTTCAGGTTCTTGAATTTAACAGTTGAAAGTATGAAGTATTGGTATCTCTCCCCTCTTTTGCTAGTGAGAGAGGGAAGAAGGTGATAAAAATTTCTTCTTTATCGAATGTAGAGGCAAGCTTTATCCAAATTTACGCGGTACGACATGTTTGTAAATTATGATGCCAACTACCAAGCCCATAAGCTTTCAGCATCCAAAACAAATTTAAGTAGAACCATGAAAAGAATACCCTATGGGGCTTGTTAAAGCTCTTTTGCTTTGTGAAAAATGATTTTTCTTTTTTTAAAGATAATTTTAATTGACAAATGTCCTCTGGTAATTTAATGCAAACAGTTTTTTTTCTTTTTTTTTAAACGTCAAAACGGTTTCTTGGTACCATTATTTTTCGCCAAATAGAAAAATTATTGTTCTATAACTAATGATGATTTGATCATCACACTGATAGAACTTGGGTCAAGCAAGTAATGCTAAACGACACCAGTGATGAGTATCACACACTAAAAGGTGGGTCGCACATTTTAAGATTCACTTTTTATTAGTTAGATCATCTCTAATGTAATTGTTAATGTTAATTATATATTTATCATTAAAAAGTGTGATATGGTATGTTAGATTCATTTTTGTTTCAATGCATAATGTTATTTAAAATGTTAAATTTATTTTTTCTCATAATTATTAAGCTTTGAAAGTTGTAATGTAAATTTTTATGTTTAAAATAATTAAAAAGTGTAAAAGTTGTAATGATTACATAAAAAAGTAAACATTTTAACAAATAGTAATCAAATATCAAATTTCTTATATTAGCACACTTGTGGGAAATTTCTTACAAAGTATAGCATATAGAAAATTTAACACAATAAATAGTATTGCATTGGAGAGTATTTTTTGCACTCAATTGTAAAATTTATAATTAGTACATAAATTATAATAAAGATGCGTATAAATCTTATAGTGCTTAGTGTTCACGGCGTCTTTAAACATTCATAAGGTCAAACACAATTTTCGTGCTTTCAATGTTTGTGGTGATCACCACCCCTTTTCGATGTCCGGCAATGATCTAATAAAAGGAGAGTATGAGAAAAGCAATATTATTTTCGAAAGTCACAAATTATGTTGCATGTAATTGCATGCTGCAATCTATTGATCTGAACTACATAAGCACCTTTTTTTTTATTTTCTTGGCTAAACAACTACATAAGCACATTGATTCTAGACGTGTTTTTCTTTCAGTAATAGTACTGATAGTTTAGTGACCAATGGAAAATGCAAGTATACATTCTACCTAGAAAATAAAAAGTGTATTAGGGATTGTTTAATATGTATATTTAAATTCAAATCATGATTTTATTATAGTATTTTTTCTCTCACAAAGAATTTAAATAAAAAACTTCTCACTAATAATTCTCTCATAAAAAAATTTAAATCAAAATTCAAATTATAATTTAAATACACTTCTCAATTGGGACTTTGTGATTTTCTCTTAAAGCTGCAATTTGCATGAAGAAAAAAGAAACCAATAAAACTACCACAGGGACCAATGAGAGTGAAACCGGATTTGAGTTTGAAAATTTTGTGAGGAAGCTTTTATTGCCAACAAGGCCAAGTTGGGTCCTTTCCATAACCTGTTTGGCGAGTATTTTTGGCTTGCGATATTCCGTGACATCAGAAGCCGAATCCTGTGAATGATCCGTCTTTTTAGTATTTTGGATTTTGGTTTCTTTCAATAAATCTTCGTTAAGGCTCCGGCAGAAAGAATAGAGTATGAAGAATGGAGAGTTAGAGAGATAGAAAAGATTATAATAATTTTTCATATTGTTTGATATGAGTGAGATAAAGTTGAAATAATGAATAATAATTATTTATCTAATTATTATATTCTCTATTTTATTTATTTGATACTAATTTTTTTAGGGGTTAAATAGACATTTAATTTTAAAATTAAATGAATTAGTTAGATTTTTCCATTAATGAAAAAATTTAAATTGGTAGGTGGAGAGAGAGACTTTCTCTCCTCATGTCTCCTCTCCCTTCTCTCTTTCATCCAATCAAACAAAAGAATTATTCTCTCTTCCCGCCTCTCTCCCTCCACCCCTCTCCCTCCTGCTAAACTCACTCTGAAAGAAACAGACAGAGCCATTGACATAATAGCCTTTCTTTCTTTTTTCTTTTTTCCCCTTTTTTCTGGCTGGAATATGCAGAACGAACTCTTGGCAAATAACACAAAGATCCTTACTCTTTCACTATTTACCAGGAGATGCTTTGCTTGTCTTGCTCCTCAAGCCCAAAGAAAGTATACTTTCAATTATTAAAAACAAAAAAAGAACTTTTCTGACAGAATTAAAAAAATAAATTGTCACTAATCAAAAAAATAAATTAGTATAGTTGTTTATTTCAAACCGTTTATTTTACATAATAATATGATTTTGACTAAATTTATTATTAGAAACGGACTCTACTAACAAGAGTGTAACAAAAAAATAAGTTAATATTTAGTTCATAAATTTAAAATTATAATTTAAAATTATTTTTATTTTACGTGTATTTTTTATAAAAAAAAAATTTATAATAAGTTATGAGCCATGACACAATTTCTTTTCTAAACGCACGTTAAAAAAAGGACGATTTGGCGGGGACTTGATCCCAAAATGGTCACTGAGAGACCACGTGTCACGATGCACTTATTTTCACTTTTGGTTGGATATTGACCACATAATCCAGTACTTTGCAGACCACGCTAATAAGAATGGAATATCACTCATAAGAGCGTTCTCTCCCTCTCTCAAGTCCCTTTGCGAAGTCAAAAAAAAAGTTGCACCAAAGGGAAGTGGAATGGTAAGGACAGTGCTTGCAGTTGCTGTGGTATTTTTATTATTTTGTTTTCACCATATTTCTTTCTTTTCTGGTTCAAGTACGCTGACTCCGCTATTAGCCACCCAAAAAAAAAAAAAAAAAGTACGCTGACTCCGCCAACTTGCTTCTGCCAACTACTACAGTGCCCACTTCATTTGCGCACGGCAACTGTTTACTTTTACTGTTCTGTGGGTTTGAAAATTGGAAGCTCTCACGTCTAAGTAGACGTTTAGTTCATAGATTAGAATCATGTGATTAAAATTATTTTTAATTTATGTGTATTTTTATAAGAGAAAATACTATAACAAATCATGAATCATGATTCAAATTATAGTTTGAATCCTCTAACCAAACATCTCCGTCTTAAGAGACGTTTGGTTTATGGATTATAATCATAAAATTAAAATTATTTTCGATTTACGTGTATTTTTTATAAGAGAAAATACTATAACGAATCATGAACCATGATTCAAATCGGGATACGAATCTCCTAACTAAACAACTCCTTAATTGGGAGATAATCATCACAATATATTCCAAAAAAAAAAAATGAAATGGGATTTGTTTGTTTGAAGAGCAACAATAATAGTTCTTTGGAATCTATTCTCTTGATCTAGATCTACAATAATAATAGCAATAAAGTCATGAGGTAGGATTTGATACATTTTATTACCAAAAAAATGTATAATGCACCCAAAAAGCAACAAGAAAGGTTAAACAATAAACAAGTAAAAGACCAAAATGGTGTTTTCTGATTTTCTCCCTTTTTTTTTTTTTTTTTTTTTGCTGAAAGGATATAGTGTTCTTTATGAATAATAAATTTTGGCCACAGTTTCCATTTTCAGAAAATTGTTAAATCCATTAGATACTTTTTTCTTATGGTGAGTGATTGATTAGGATAGTTGCAACTTGCAAGATAAAAAATCTTGACTAATTATGAACAAAAAGAAATCACTTGATTTTTGGTCTTTCATTTCTTAAACGTATTTTATAAATATACAAAAAAATATCATTAATTGCAAACGTAAATTACGTGGGAAAGAGTAATATCAATTTCAGAAAACTGTAGACCTTGCTGTTTACTAAAGTAATATCGATTTCAGAAAACTGTATACTTTGCTGTTTACTAGGTGCGGTATTTATTATGTTGTATATTTCAGTAGGAGATATGTACAATTACTTGTACTGGATGATTGAACATCTCACTTAATGAAGATGGAAACCTTTTCATTTTTTCTTATATAACCTTAAAAACCTTGTTCTTAGATTACGATAAAATAAAAATTAAAAAAAAAGTACATATATATATCCTTCTTTTACAAGCAAAAGAAGAAAATAAAATGAGTGAACCAAGTAAAAAGGTGAGCACATCAGGACTAACATGCACAAAGAAAGTCGGGTAACCTTGCACTTTACTCTTTAGGTTTACAGTGGAATTTTTACACGTGGAAACTCAATCAGAATTTTACCACCCTTTTGTCAATCGGGCTTTGCTGGGTAAAAACCCAAGTAAAAAGTTAAAACCAAGAGGAGTGGTTGGGAATAAAAACGCACAAAAAGCATATTTCTTCTTTTTTTCTTTTCTGGTAAATTATTTCTTATTTTTTTAAGATGGAAATGTGACCATGGCAATGGTACTAGGGGTAAAAATAACCATGGTCAATTGGTGCACTGCTGCCCTGCCAACCTCTGAAGAACCAGAATCAACTTTCTCAACAACAACAACAAAAAAAAAAAAAAAAAAAAAAAACCCCTTCAAATTCAACCTTATTTCACATGAACGGGCCTTGCAAATTGTAAGGACTGAAAACTCTGTTTCAGCTACACCACTTTTATTTTATGGTCCTTTTTTCTCTTTCTTTTTCTTTTTTTTCAGCCCCTAATAATAAATAAATAAATAAAATAAGAATTATTTTCATAAATATTTTTGAAGTACGCATCTTATTTTAAAATGTCTTTTGAGATTTTAAAACAGTTCAAAACACTCAATAATATATATAGAAAACGAATGAAAATGTTCCTTTTACTAATTTTTGTCTATAATTCAAATAGATTACTGGTGTGACAGCATTAAATATTAATTAAAGGTATCAAATTCTGATTGAATTAACAAAAATAATTATCTTATTAAAAAGTAATAAAAACGAAACAAATAGAGAAAAAATGAATACCAGAGCTTTAAGGGTGTTAATTACTTCAAAACAATGCAAATTCAAATAATAATCTAGTGGGAATAACAAAAATCAAACCAACAGATCGGTGAGAAAAAAGAAAAAATTTGAATTTGAATTACCAAATTACTCAGTATATCAATAAAAAAAGGCTCTAGATCATCTTTGTCGATCTTCAAGTTGCCTTGACCACGTTGCCTTCGTCTTCTTCGCCAATCTGAGAACCCTCCATGCCAAAAACCCACCGGCCTCAACAGGTCTCACGACCCTCCACGGGAGACTCCCCAGACGTCTCAGATCTACCATATCTTCTTGTGCTCTCTCTCTCTCTCTCTCTCTTACGGTTTTCTCGTGTTCTCTATTAATCATTTTACAGATTTAATTAATACTTAATGGCCTTAATTATTTTGTATACGAATCCATCAGCAAATTCCGTTAAGTTATAGACGAAATTAGACGGAACGACGTTTTGAACTATTTTCTACATAACAAAGAATATTTTGAACTGTTTTAAAAAATTTGGAGCATTTTGAAACAAGTTACATAATTTAATAGGCATTTATGAAAATAATTATGCCACGTTCAATTCAGCGATTTAAATTTTTAATTTAAGTTAAGATTTTATTTTATGTGAGAATTTTTAATTATAACAAAAAAAAATTAAATATGACATTTTATAAAAAAATTTAACTGTAATAAAATTATAATTAAAAATTTAAATGGATGAAATTAACAAAACTTATGAAACCGACCCTAAACAACCGACTCGTGTCGGTGCCTTACTTTCCCACACATGGAACTTTGCAACTCTCTCTGTCTCTCACTCTATTTACTGCTTGGGTCATCTCAGCTTCCAACCTTCGAAGATTTACATTAATATTTGGACACTGATGACATTAAAATCTGTCATTCACTGACTCCATCAAGAATTAAGAATTTACAAAACTACAAAATAAAAAAGCCCATTATTCATTTCCTCTTCACAAGCTGGGTGGTGGTAATTTTGGTAAAATTAATAGCCTTTTGCTCAGTTGCTTTTTATGCTCCTATCTCATACAATTATACATTTGTTGCTTTTTCACTTCTTTGTTTTTACCTCTGTTGTTCTTGCTGTTGTTTGTTTGGTGTGGTGTGGGTTCTCTGAGAAGCTTTGGGTAGGTGGGCAGATGGGTCTAGCCTTCTAGCCTTCTTTTCTCTGTTCTTCCTCACTCTCTCTCTTGTCTTTCTCTCTCCTCTTTTTTCTCCCTGCCTTTCTGGCGGATAAACCGGTGAGTTTTTGCATAATCCAAATCCGAAAAAGCAAATATCTCCCTTGCTTTCGGTGTATGTGGTTTTTTCTGGGTTTTTCTCCTCTTTTTTTCTCTTTGATTATATATATGGCTTCATGATTTCTCTTAGAAAAATGACCTCAGATTAATCAAGAAATTATCAAGAAAGTTTCTTTACTACTAAGTATTATTTTTAGTTGCTCTGGCCTGAGTTTAGTGGCGTCTCTCTCTCTCTCTCTCTCTCTCTCTCTCTCTCTCTCTCTCACCTTCCCCCTCAGATTAAGAACTTAAATTCCTCATCTTTCACCAAGTTTTCTGCTTTTTCTTTGTTTTGTTTTGTTTTGTTTTTTTCTTTTCTTTATGCAGATAAGTTTGAAGTGTTGGTTGAACTGGTACACTTAACAGACATGCAATGGCTTTGAGTATGTTCATATTTTATTTTCTCGGCTTTCTGGGGTCTTATTTTCTTCTTCTATGGCTTTCTCTCACTCTTGGTGTTCTTACTGGATCTAAAAAAAAGTACATCACTTTAATTTGAGATTTGTTTCTTCTAAGTTGTTCTCATTTCTAGATTACAAATCCTTTGTACTTCCTCACCATGTCCCAGATTCTTTTCCTTGCTTTGTTATTATCGACCCCCCCAAAAATAAAGTTCAATTCTTTTCATCTTTTTCAGCCACCTTGTTAATTTTTTCGCTTCCCTTTTTCTCGAAACACCCACTCTATGTTATTTAGCAAGTTGTCGTCTTTTTCTCGTTTATCTTTTATTATTGTTTCGCAAATTGAGAAAGAACATGAAAGTTGATTATGAATATGATGTGGATCTTTTTTCCCTTTTTTCTTTTCTTTACATTTAACAGATAATTTCTTTCGCGTGTGAATCTTGTCTGTTACCACAAAAGAGATCTCTTTGGAGTATTTTTCTATCTACAAATTCACTCTCTCCTTTCCAATTATCTAGTTTTGTTCTCATTTTTGAATTATTTCTATTTCTATTTTGTAGAATGAAAAGATGGAAAAGGATAGCGATTTCCGGCAATGGGACGAGCTAATACCGGACGCTTTGGGGCTAATTTTCAGCCATCTCTCTCTCCAAGAGATACTAACTGTGATTCCCAGAGTCTGCAAATCATGGAGCAAAGCTGTTATGGGACCCTATTGCTGGCAAGAGATTGACATTGAGGAATGGAGTAGCCGGTGCCAGCCCGATCACCTTGATCGGATGCTCCGAATTCTCATCGCAAGAAGCTGCGGTTCGCTTCGAAAGCTCTGTGTTTCCGGCCTCAACTCCGACTTGATCTTCTCCTTCATTGCAGAAAAGTAAGCAGAAAAGAAAAGAAAAAAGTTTGTGTGTGTGTGTGTGTGCAAACCCAGTTTGTAAAAATAACTCAATAGGAAAGTTTTATTAGTAAAATAACTTTTTAAAAATTTTTATTTGCAAAATCACTGCAGAACGACCAAGAACGATCACTTTTTACAAATTTTGCCAATTTCACTTTGTTGGATAGTCATTCTAGCATATTTCTCGTTGAATTTTGAGTCATATGGACTAATTTGTATGCTTGTTAAAATGCTCAGTCTTTGTTTAGATAGCTTTTAATTAGATGGAACTTATGGAATTCCTTTGTCAATTGAGGTTAATTTGTTAGTTTATCTTTGTCCAGAGATCAGTTTGATTTTAGTTGAGATTCTTGTTATCATGTGTTTTTCCTTATTGGTTTTGCAAGTGCTGGTTCCCTTCAGACGCTGAGGCTGCCTAGAGGTGAGATGAGTGATTTGACAGTGGAACGGATCGCCGGGAGGTTTTCCACCATTACTTTCTTGGACGTGAGCTACTGCATTAAGATCGGTTCTCGGGCGTTAGAGGCCATTGGAAAGAATTGTAAGCTTCTGGTGGGGCTGTGCCGGAATATGCACCCTTTGGCTACTGCAGGAAAGCCTCTTGAGGACGACGAGGCTCACGCAATCGCCACCACAATGCCTAAACTCAAGCACCTTGAAATGGCTTACCATCTCATTGGCACATCGAGCGTTCTCCAGATACTCTCGAGCTGCCCCGAGCTCGAATTTCTCGATTTGAGAGGGTGTTGGAGTGTGATACTCGACAACAAGTTCGTCAAGGAGAATTTCCCAAAGCTGAAGGTGTTGGGGCCTGATGTTGTGGACTACTTCGAGAGGAACGATTGGGATGAGTGCTCGGATTTCTCTGATGCTTCGTCCGAGTACTTGGCGTGGGAGTTCATGACTGGCGGAATGGATGATTACTTTGATGATGAGAGCTTCGACGGAATGTGGGATGACGATGAGGCGAGCCTGGAGGAGCTTGAGCTGAGGTTCTATGAAGGAATAGATGAAGATGTTGAAGGGTATGGTTGGCCTCCGTCTCCTTAAAAAAGTTTCTAATGTTTTCTCTCTTGTGGAACTGTTAATTTGCCCTTTTTCTCTGTTTCTTCAGTAATGACTTGCCTGATGTTTTCTAGTTTGAACTCTACAATATGCTTTATAAGGATATGTATATGTTTTCAGTGGAATGAAAGTTGGTTTGTTGTTGTAATTTGGCATCACCATTAACACATTCAGATTTCAATAGTTGTTTGGTACCGATTTAGGGGCGGAGCCAGAAAATTAAGGGCTTGTTTTGGAGTAAAACTTTAAAAAAATTTAAACTCAAGTTCCAATTTTATTAAAGTTTATGTTCGTTTACAACGAATAGATGAATAAAATATCATTCATATACTCTATTAAAATTTTTTATTATCATTGAGTTTTTATTAAAATATTATTTAAATATAAATTTAAATTTTGACTCATTCAAATACAAATTTAAATAGATTTTCAATTTAAATTATAATTAAAATGTGCACATTTAAACACAAATTCAAGTTATAATTTTAATTTAAATTATAACTCAAATTTAATTTAAAATTTATACTCAAATTATCATAATTTAAAAATATAACCGAACAAGTGTTTAAGTTTCAAATTTGAGGGAGGGCAAACATGTATAATTTCAGGTTTTTAGGAAGGTAAACTATAAATTTTAATAAAATATACAACAAAATTAGAAGGAAAAAATTTCAAGTAGGGCGGCCGCTTATCGGAAAAGCGGCTAGTGATAGCTCCGCCCATGGTTATCATTTAGGAGGTAATGCAAAAGCTCTCCTTGGTTGATTTTCAAAAGTTACTAAAAAGAAGCAAAGCAACCAAAGACACTGAGCTTTCAAAGTGGTATGGATGTAGGATCAATGAAGTACCAAACTGAGCACTACAAGTAAAAATCTATGTAAATGTAATTAAAGATTGTTGCGTTAATAAACGTTTCTGAACTTTTTCTGGTGTTGGTTCTGGCAGGAGTTCTAGTTAAAAGAAGTTACATTAGATATTTTAGGCATAAAAGGCAAAAGCGACACGACAACTGAATTGGTCTCCAAGTTCTCCAACTTTCCCATAGTATATGATCGAGATTTGGCTCCACTGTCCACTTTCACTAAAGAGATGTGTCCTTTAATAATGGCAAAATAGCTTATTGAAATGGATTCTTTCCTATTGCTCCAATGTCTCTTTCTTTGTCTGAGGCCCTGAATGATTATTCAATTAAGAGAGAATTTCTCTCCTTCCTTTATTTGCAAGAGAAGAGGAGAGTGTTTCCCTATCGCTAAACTATATTGCTAGCCTGAAGCCTATATTGTTTTGTTGGTTATTATTATTATTATTATTATTATTTTTTAAATGGAGCATATCCTGATTAGGAATATGGGCACGATGTGTTTTGTCTGTTAGTCTGCAAAACTCTATCAATATGAAGACCTTAGCGACCAATCTCCTTCAAGGTCCCATCATAACTTAATCATGGCAAAACAATCAAAGAGGGACTTGTCTTGAAATAACTTATATATAAAACACTGTATGATATTATGAAAATATGACAATTTAATGAAATTTGATGAATATTTGCTTGTTTGGAACTGTGTTTCTTTCGGTAGAATATGAAATTTTAGTATGGTATTTTTTCATATCTTACCATAAAATTCTCACAATATATACATATAGAGTTTGTTTACAGTCCCCCAATTTAAAAATAAATGACATGTTTTATATGCGCCATCGTGACCAGCCATGTGCTATCGTAACCAGTTAAAGGAGTATCGTAATTCTCTTACGTAGTTATAACAATTACTATTTTAGAAATTAAAAGTCGTAATTCTTAAGCATATAATAATAAACGGTTGTCATGCGCACCCGTCATGAATAATTATGAATAATAAACGGCTGTCATGTACATCTGTCATGAATAATTATATGAATAATAATAATAATAAAAGACACATCAATAATCGATTGTCGTTTTAATTGTTAGTATCAGTTCTTTCATCATAACCAACTATCTTTTTTAGACTTGAATAATATTGTCGTGAAGGATTACATCTGTCATATTCTTTTTTATAGGCACATCCGGTCATGCATGAATATTTATTTGGAGTAGTGCATTACAGTTGTTTATTGCCATATGCTTAAAAACGACTTCTGATTCTTAAAATAGTAACTGTTACGACTCAATACAAGAGAATCACACTAATCATTTAATTGGTTACGCTAATCTTTCAGCAGGTTATGATGGGGAAATTTTTCCCATAAAAATTGTAGGAGACCACAGGAAAGGCCATATATATGTATGTGTGAAGAGAAAGATATTAGAGCTTCATACAGTAAGGTATTTCTACTTACAGTGCATGTTAAAACGTTAGATCTAATAAAAATCTTATCAAAATAATAATAGTTAAAGCAAAGATATCGCAATTAAAAACAGTTTCCTATGGGTAAAACATTACCATCAACGAATTTCTCATTATTTTTTATCCGCTCAAATCTCAATTGGTTTATTTTCCAACAATGACTTTAGAAATATAATGTTGCCTTTTTGAAAATAAATAAATAAACGAATAAAAAGCAGCTCCTCTCAGCCCTCAGGGCACTGATTGCCTTCTGTTACCAAACTCATGCAATAATTGAGCTCGAGGAAAAAATCAGCACTATGGTGTCATGTGAGAAACTATACATATGAGTGGAAAGTAGAACAGAGACATTTGTAAAAGATGCTCTAGAAATTCCGTGACAAGAGAAAAAGCACGAGTGTTAACAGATGAAATAACAGAAAATTCAATAATTGCGCTTTTTTACTTTACTAAAGATCCTAAAAGGACCCATTTATGCAAATGCAATAATATCAATGAAATATCACTCTCACTAATCACAAATATTGAGAAGATTTAAAAACCCCCCAAAATAAAACAAAACAAAGAAACGTCACGCTAATTTGGCCAAAGTTGGAATTTTAAAGAACAGAATCATTCTAGGAAATGTGAAGACTAAAGCAAAATTACAAGGTCTAGCTTTTAGAGTTTGAAGACTATAAAGATGGTTTATTGAACTCATCAAATCTCAGAGGAATATTGTTCGACTTGCACGGATGTATTCTCTATACGTGCCTAATGCCTTCACTAGCTACTAAGCAGCGGTCGCATGCCTACATGTGATTCATATCTTAGGATCTTGTACCCACAATCTCAAAAGGAGTATTTTTTAGGAGAGTTTCTCCCATAAGACCATACCAGAAAAATGAAATTACTGATAGTTCTATTTTTTTCAGTTGTTTTCAACCGTTAAATCTGCATTAAAAATTATATGTTATGCATACTTTTTTAATCTCATTTAATTTTAACCAGATCGAATGATCAGAAAATTGGTCTTACAGGTAGGACAACCTAACAGAAACAGTCTCTTTTTTTAGATATGTCTTAGACAAATCTAAATTTCATGGAACAAGTGTAAATGAAAAGAAATATTATGGCATGAAAATTGCAAGTTTCAAAGAAGAATGCCCAAGGAGACACCCCACTTGGGAAACTTGTAAGTTGCAGCCATCACCATCAGCTCTCAAAACTTGAAACCTATCTAGTTGTTAGTTTTGAAAATGATTTTCTATGCGGAAGCGTTTATCTAGTGGATCGTGTATAATAAAAATTTTAATAAATTTTTGAAATACTCTATAGAAACATTAATTAATACACGAATAAACTAATCAAATTAATTTATGAATAAATTTACCTAGCGAATGATGAGGTCGATAACTTGAGTTATTTGATCACGAACGTTCCTGGCTCCAAACTTGTTTAGAATACCCGAGTCTTCCTCGTCAATTCTTTCAATCTATGAAAACGTATATGTGGGCACACCTGAAACAAAACGGGATTAACACGCAAACACTCAAGTTTTCCACGAGCACCAACACATGCACGACGTAGAATCGGAGAGAAAATTTTCCTTTTCGTCACTCTATAAAACCGGCCACTATATGTTAGGGAGAGACAAAATTGTATTTTCTAATTTTCTACCATCTCTTATTTATAGAGTAGCTATCAGACTCTCATAATAAGTCTAAACTTTATCTCTAAGATAAAACTTAATAATTATCTCCCACTTCTATTTTATTTTAGAAACAAAAACCCCTCTCTCTCTTATCCGTAGGGGCCGGCACCACAAGGATATTTCCCCCTATAGTTGGCGCAAATTACAGATAGGGAAGGAGAAAAAAATTCTCTTTTATCATGCAGTTCAATTTTGACTCAAATTTAAATTCCAATTAAAGTCAAACTTAATTTAATTTGAATTTCAATTGGATAACTCATCAAATAAGTCAATCGGATAACTTAAAAAGCAAGCAATTGAATCCCATAGGCATTTTGACAATGCTGAGCGTGTACACCATGTGGACTCCTCCACATGTGTGTTTCAAAATTCAAATTTAAATAATCACATTTATTTAATTTATAATTAATTCTCAATTAATTATTCTTGAGAGTTATATTTAGAATTCCATAATTTTAAATTCTCATTTTGTCTTTAGTGTCTTGTAGGATTACAAGGACGATATGGGGACTCATAGACCTATAATTCTGAATTCAAATAAAATTAATAATTAATTAAAACTCTTTAATTAATTGATTAATTCTATTAATTCTAAAAGTTACTCCACTATAGACTTAGAATTGCACTCTCGTAACTATATATATAATTTACTTCTAAACTGTGAAGTGTCCATTTGATATAGCCATTACATATAGATCAATCCTCCATAAATAATTCATAATTAGAGTTAGGTGAAATCTGTTGATTCTCTAATGGACAGTGATTCATAAAATAAATTCATGAATCAAAGCTTCTACTAGTCCAAGTACCGAATCAATCTTCAAGAGAATTATTTATCTACTTCTTTCTCAAGAAGAAATGGATTTCATCTTGTATAATAACATTCTCGACTACTCACTTCATCACGTCTCCAAAATACAAGGAATAAGATTCAACATCTCAGAATCCGTACTAAGTAAATTAAAAGACACAAATCCATAAATAGAAGTCTGCTAATAATCTAGGATTAAGATCGTTCTATATATATCGACATATTCAATTAGAATTTCTATACTTAACAGAAATTATCAGAAATTCATATTATGTATGTGTCCCGGTTCCACATAATCTCATTATGCATAATACACT